TTCAGTAGAGTGTTGTCTGCGAAACCCAGACTGGAACTTGTACATGTTGTGCCTCTCCAGTGCAGCAGTAAGTTGGTTGGCCACCACTTTCTCTAAGATTTTGGACAGGAAAGGCAGTTTTGATTTGTGCCTGTAGTTCATAGGCAATGCCGGATCTAAGTTGGGTTTCTTTAATATAGGCTGGATAGTGGCATGTTTAAAATAGGACGGGACAATTCCTGTAGACAATGAGGAATTAACAATAGATGTTACTGCAGGGAACAATAATTAGCAGAACTTTCTTAAATGGAGAGGATGGTATAACATCCAGAGGGCAAGATGATGGCTTTATTTTGTTAATTAAGTCCATCAGGTGTTGAAGGCTGATAGGCTGGAAAGAGTCAAGAACAGCAGGAGATTGCGAGGAGCTACATGTACATGAACAGATCCCAGGCTGAATACCAGACCTAATAGCTAGTATCTTATCAATAAAATAGGTAAGGAACTTGTTACAATCATCAACAGAACAACATGGTAATGTAAAGACAGATGGTGAAACAATTCTATTAATTGTGTCAAACAAAATCTTGGGATTTCTTTTTGAGGAAGAGATTAAGTTGGCAAAATAAGCAGTTCTAGCTTCCTTTACTCCAGCATTAAAAGAAACTCTGAGGTCTTTGAGATATGAGCGATGCACTTCTAGCCCAGTGGCTTTCCATAGCCGCTCTGTCCTGCGACACTTCCGTCTCAGGCTGCAGACAGCGTCTGTCATCCACGGAGAAGTGTTGTAGGCAGCCTTGGTCCTTTCCTTTAGAGGTGCCACTTTATCCAGCAAAGTGGTGCAATGTTCATTAAAAGACTGTATTAAGAGTTCAACATCATTGGGATTTGTGTTAATATCACAGCAGAAGTGCATTGAGAACTGATCAGCTGTACTCTGAGTAATAATGCGGGAGTGGAATGTTCGTTTCAGACACAAGGGGTCAGCATTTACAGCAAGATCAAAGAAAATACATTTATGGTCACTGATCAGTAGGTCCTCACAACGTGTATGATCAATATCAAGACCCAGGGAGAACACAAGGTCCAAGGTGTGACCACCCCTGTGAGTGGTGCCAGAGACATGTTGCGTGAAATTAAAAGATTCAGTAGTATTAAGAAACTCAGTGGCTGTACAATCTGTGGCATCATTGATATGCAGATTAAAATCACCAACCAGAAGCACTTTGTCTAGCTTGATAATAGAGGCCAGAAAGTCTGTGAACTCTGATAAGAACTGACCTGCAGGACCTGGAGGTCGATAAATTAAAACACAGTAAAATGGCTTTAGCCGACCCACTTTAGTCAGCTGTCGTTCAAAAGTAGTATAAGATTCTGTGCTCCCCAATTGGCAGGAAAACTGATTCTTCCAGACCACGGCGAGACCTCCACCGCGGCCTGTCAAACGCGGTGTCCCAACATAAGAACAGTCCACATTCCATATTCCGTTGCCAGGTCTCAGTCAGAAATAAAAAAGCCAAATTATGACTTGTGAACAAGTCATTTAAAATGTGAGCCTTGTTTGCTACAGAGCGTGCATTAATCAGACACATTTTAATGGGGGAAGATACTGTGTCGTCATCAGCACAGGAAGCTTTGGGGGTATGTGGAATACAACGGATCACTCGTGCAACACCTTGAGCCCGACCATAACAAGGGCGTGAGCGCGAGTGTGTGATTCTGACGGGAATGTTCATAGGTCGTGGAGTGGAATCTAATCTGCTCCAAATCGCTCATATGTCATAACATCCTGACCCGGAACACATCTATAAGACAATTTAGAATCATAGTAATAGCGCCACTAGTGGCGACAGGAAGTTATAGGTTGTGTACTTTGACATCCTGCTCCTCACAGATTAATCAGATCCCTCTCAAATGTTGTCAGAAAAGCCTTAAGACCTTGATAATGCTTCATTGTGAAGATTGTAAAAAGTTGTTGAAGGGCGGCGACGTGGCGGTTCGGCGAATTTCAATCCTTCGCCATGAAGAAATAAACTGATGTAACTCGACTCCACATCATCAGATCTTTACCAGATTTCACATGTTTGATTAGACTCCAGTCCTGAAGACATCTGCAGGTCAATTTTGAATCATAGTCACAGCGCCACCTACTGGTAACAGGAAGTTAAAGTCTTTATACTTTGGCTTGTTTCTCTTAGTAGGTAAATCAGATCAACATCAAATTAGTTCCACACAAATATAAGAAGTTCATAATGCCAGTTCATGAAGCTTTTGATGTTTCGTGGAACGCCGTTGCCGTGGCGACGCAGTCTTCGTCGTGAAAAACGAAGGTGCTTTTGAGAGGCTACAAATGCTCAAAACATAAGAAAACTTGCCACACATTTAAAATCCTGAATGTAGTTATCTAATGTGATTTTAATGCTTCAGAGTGGCAAGTCGGCTCGATAGCGCCCCCTACAATATTTCGACGATGCAGCCCTCGCAGCACGTTTCACCTAGATGTTTAACATTTGGTAAGCAGGTGTATCACATCTAAACTTAAAAAAGTATGGGACCATGCTCAAAACCCAACCGGAAGTCAGCCATTTTTAATTTTGTATGAATTTCTCATGTTTTTTTCCCATTTCCAGGTGCTCTACTTTAACGAACTCCTCCTAGGGAATTAATCAGATCAGCTTAGAATTTGGTCAGAACAATCTAAAGACCTTAGTGATTAAAAGTTACTAAAAGCTTGAGGTTTCATTGGACAATATGGACGTGGTGTGGCGGCCATTTTACATGGTTCGCCATCATCCATCAAGCTGTTGCAACTCAACTGTACTTTGTCAAAACTGTCACAAACTTGACATGCTTGTTGACTGTCATGGCTTTAGGACTTCTGCATGCCAATATTAACTCATAGTCATAGCGCCACCTACTGATAAGCACGGACGTAAGCAGGATTCTGTATTTACAGCGGCCCAAACACTGAACTTATTGAAATGGTTTTTGGGCACACCATGAGAAAAAGACTTCTCTGATCTAAATATGTGCAAACTAAGATGCTTGGAGAGCAAACGTTAGATAACAGTGGATTTTCAAACCATGTCAGTGGGCATTAGTATAAATGATCTGTCCAGAGCTTCTTCATGACAATCAGGTTAAACGTTACAATGAATGCTTCACACTACAATCTAAAGTTACAGAAGAACTTAAAATGAAAACAGTGTTAAATTAAAGTGTTCAAGTAACAGCAAATGTGTTAACTTTCATGTAAGTCCAAATACAATCAGCAGGACACTGCAGGGAGTTGAACCCCATCCCAGTAAACTCCCACTGATGTTTTCATTATTATTATACATATATATTAATTATGCTTCATGATGAATCAACATGCGAGTCTCTTATTTAAACGATAACTGATCTTTAATCGGTCTGTTTCTTCTTGTTGTCATAGAGTCAGCTGTCTCCGCTCCTCCTTCGTCCACTTCAACCACCCGACCTCACTTGACCTCTGACCAGCAGGTCTGAACACAACCATAGTCTATGACATCACATCTTGAGCTCACTGTGATTAGACCAGCGGTCAGCTCTTTGACACACAGAACCAATCAGATCATCCAGTAGTGCCTTGTCATCTTACCCACCAACCAATCAGGATCCAGGAGGCAGAGGGGGCAGGGCATGTGATAACTGAGACGATGGAGACAACATGAACGTTGTGAAGCTTTTACCTTCAACATTTTATTACAGTGAATCCACGTTATCAATCACTTTGACTGAGCTCGTTATTATCATTTAAAGTGATTGTTTTTAAAGAGATAGACCACAATGATGTCACTGAACATCATCTGTGGACTGAACACCAAGCTACAGGGCTGGGTTCTCCACAGTTCTCCTACAAACAGGATCCAGACTTTACTCAGTCAAAGGACAGAAGAGTTGAAAGTTGGTCCAGACTCATGACGGCAGTGACCCAGAGACTCCCTGATACCAGACCTGGGTCAAGACTCAAATCCATTATGACCCCTGAAACCATGCGTGCCCGATGTAGACCACCAGTCAGTCCAGCTCACCTGAGCAGCCGGCCAATCAGAACCTCCGGTCTGTCGTGGACATGTTGGACCAGGATGAAGCAGAACCTTTTAAACCTTCAATTTGCCAAACAGGAACACTGTGGACACTTTGAGTTTCTTCTGGGAGACTTTTGTACTAAAACATATTTATTTTTTCTATAAACTGTAGTTGATGTTTGATTTAAAAACAGGAAGTGATCAATTCTGACGAGCAGACGTCCTGAACCAATCAGGTGGTCGGTCTGACGAAGACTCTGCTGCGACAAATGTATCAGTCGATGAAGACAAGCTGTGTTGTCTGTCTCCCTGTCTGTCCCTCTATCTGTCTGTCCCGCTATCTGTCTGTCTGCAAGTTTGAGTTCATGTCAAGAAAAAAACAGTTTACTTTAAACCAGTAGACTATCGTCTTTAGGGACCAAACACAGTGAAGACATCGATGTGGTTTTGGTAACAAAGTAATTCAAAGTCTCTCTCACATGTTTATATAAAATTTATTAAATATCAGATGAGACGAGTTCACTCTGAAGCCTTAACTCACAACTTTTATCAAATAAAACTCATTCTCACATTTGTACTGCGTCTGTTTCATTTCATCGTGAATCTAGAGTCTTCAGTTTCAAGACGCCATTTTGGGATCTTGGTGGTTTTTGTTTTTTAACATTTGATAGACCAAATCAATCTAATAATCAAATAACCCATTAATAATCTAATAGGTGGTCTTTGTGATGGAGGTGGTCCACCTCTGTTATTGATATTAGTGAAGGTGTACTCAGGTACTATCTGTTCAGGTACTCTGTACACTACCTGTTCAGGTACTCTGTTCTCTACCTGCTCAGGTACTCTGTTCACTACCTGTTCAGGTACTCTGTTCTCTACCTGCTCAGGTACTCTGTTCACTACCTATATTATACTACAAGTGTACTGTGTGTTTTTATATTTTAAAAGGGAAAATCATTTAAAATGCTTTTTGTTGGTAATTATTTTTAAAATATAAACCAAAAGTTATTATTATGAATAAAATCAGGTTATGTTTTTATCCTATTTTAGTTTGTCCAGCAGGATCACCTTTGACCTCTTCATGCTGAACTGGTCTCTTGTGGTCTTTGAGCTGCTGTGACGTCTGTCAATATTTGAACTGTGGTCAACGATCAGCTGGAGTCCATTTTACCTCTGACATCAACCGTCTGTCCTCACAGGAGACCGTTAGAGACAACAAGAGACAGATAGACAGACATGCTGCTGGTCTGGACTCTCACTCTGCTCACCTGCTCTGAACTGATCCAATGTACAGGTGAGACGGACCGATGTATTAGTACTGCAGTACAGTGCAGAGTATTGTTTGATCAGTACTCACCAGGACTTCGGTCCCCCCCCCTCAGTGATCCTGGACCGGTCCTCGGCGGTTCAGGTCCTGTTCTCGTCCTCCAGGAGGAGACGAGCCAACTCCTTCCTGGAGGAGGTGTTACCTGGAGACCTGGAGAGGGAGTGTCAGGAGGAGGTCTGCTCTCAGGAGGAGGCCGCCGAGATCTTTCAGACCAGAGAGAAGACGGTAAGGAGGACCGCTGTGGTCCAATCTGAGGCCCGGGACCCCACAGGGGCCACTGAAAACAGACTACATGGTGATATGACTTCTGGAGGACAGTTTGTGTTCTAAACAACATCAGAGGTCAACACACTGTACACAGAAGTACTCCCAGTACTGTACTAACTCTGAGTTTCTGGTTCCACAGCTGGAGTTCTGGTACAAATACACAAGTGAGTATATTCATCATCAAAATGATGTAAAAAAACGCTCCTAATATTCAGACTGAGGATCGGTCTTCACTGAACTGATCCAGATCCTCATGTGACCTTGCCGATCTGGATTCATGTGGTCCTGCTGATCCTTTATTTAAACCTGATCTGATCTTAAGGTACTTTTACAATATTTGACAAAACGGTCTCACCACAGGGTCCAGTAGCTGTTAGCAGCTGTTCAGGAGCTTTCAATCACTCCACATGATCTTCAATCTGCTCAGAGGTAGTCATGGTGCGTTCGAGTGTCTCTGCTCTGTGTCGTAGATCTGAACCAGGTAGTCATGGTGCGTTCGAGTGTCTCTGCTCTGTGTCGTAGATCTGAACCAGGTAGTCATGGTGCGTTCGAGTGTCTCTGCTCTGTGTCGTAGATCTGAACCCTTGTAGGACCAGCCCCTGTCTGAATGGAGGATTGTGCTCTCTGGACGAAGGAGACTTCTTGTGTCTTTGTCCTCCTCAGTTCCACGGAAAGACGTGCGACTCAGGTAACCATGGTTATATATATATATGATGTATATATATACATATATCTATATATTAGTGCTGGGCAAGTTAACGTGTTATTATCGCGTTAACGCATAAATTAATTAACGACGACAATTATTTTATCGTGCGTTAACGCAGTTTTTTTATTATTATTATTATTTTGAAAGTCCGTTGCTCACTGGCTCTGAATACACACACAGACGGACCATGGGTCACAGGAGGGGCGGGATGTTGTGTCAGTATTGGCTTGGGATGGGCGTCATCACGCGTCTCAACCAATGAGAGCATTTGGGGTGGCCCTAAGACTGCTGCAGTGCTCACATGAACCGGGAACTCTTACATGGACATTTTCATTAAAATCTCTTCCAGACGGCGGAGTTGATAGACCAAAGCTATTTGTATCCACTGCAAAGGCGAATTTTCTTATCACCGGAGTGCTTCGAGTCTGAAATATCACTTAAATGCAATACACACCGTTAATGCAGCAAATCACCCAAACAAACAGTGGCGGAAGTCTTCAGACTACGTTTATGCAGCGTGTGGGAGAAGTAGAGATAAACTAAAGCAACACAAGCTAACAGATGCTACAGAGAAGTGGAGACAAACTGCAGGTTAGTGTTGTGGAAGATGTCAGTCTGAGGAACTTTCTCAAGGTGCGTTCACGTTGCGTTTGGTGTGAAAGCACCTTTAGGATCCCAACGAATGATGTCACGTATGAGCCTCAAGACGCACCGTCACCAGAAGAACACACGAGTTGTATTAAAGGAGAGGACGACTAAAGCGACGGCGTTACAACGTGCAGCAGCTGTTGCTCTCACTGGAGACTACTGGACATCGCTGGGTTACAGCATTATGTTGATGAACAGTAGAGCTGCATTCTATATCATTCTATATATCTATCTATCTATCTATCTATCTATATATATATCTATATATATCTATATATATATCTATATATATATCTATATATATATCTATATATATATCTATATATATATCTATCTATCTATATATCTATATATATATCTATCTATCTATCTATCTATCTATCTATCTATCTATCTATCTATCTATCTATCTATATCTATATCTATATCTAGATATAGATATAGATATATACAGAAGGAGTCAACGTTTCAAATTAATAACAGAAACAGAGTTTTCTGTGGTTACTATGGCAACAAAGTGTGAACAAATGAATCTTGTCTGTAGCGGTGGTGGAGTGTCACTATAGAAACGGCGGCTGCATGCAGTACTGCAGAGATCAGCGGGGGGGCGCTGGAGTCCAGTGTGGCTGCGCTGATGGATTCAGACTGGAGGAGGACGGACAAAGCTGCTCCAAGACAGGTAACACTCATAGAACCCAGGTTATAACAGTTACTGCCTCACAGGGTGTAGTGTACCTCACGGTAAGTAGTGTACCTCACAGTGTTTAGTATACCTCACGGTGTTTACTATACCTCACGGTGTTTAGTGTACCCCACGGTGTTTAGTATACCTCACGGTGTTTAGTGTACCTCGCTGTGTTTAGTGTACCTCGCTGTGTTTAGTGTACCTCGCGGTGTTTAGTGTACCTCGCGGTGTTTAGTATTCCTCACTGTGTTTACTGTACCTCGCGGTGTTTACTGTACCTCGCGGTGTTTAGTGTACCTTGCGGTGTTTACTGTACCTCGGGGTGTTTACTGTACCTCGCGGTGTGTAGTAACCTCACTGTGTGTAGTAACCTCACTGTATGTAGTAACCTCACTGTGTTTAGTAACCTCACGGTGTTGAGTAAGCTCACGGTGTTTAGTGTACTGTTGCGTTAACTCTCTTCAGCAAATACCCCCGGTGGGCTTTTCTATCAAGTTATCAGATGTCAAGTATGACACGAGAGCCTCGGCCGGTCTGTTTTAGGCCTCTCGTCTTCAGTAGACGATCTAGTTACACCAGGATATTGCCGCCTCCCGCCCCCTAGATTCCTTACTACGGTTCATCAATGTTGGGCAACGATTTCAAGGAGGATTTTTTGTTCAGGGGTCCGGTTAACGTAGGTTCACTTCGCCGAGTCAAGTAGACGATTTAACTACTCTGAGGCAGGTAGTACCTGTGGGTGGACTTCCCCACTTTGAACAGCCTTGTTATTTTATTTTATATCGTTTTAATGTCTATCACCAGTCTCAAGTTTTATCGGAAGAATACACAGTCACCTTCACGTCACAGGAAGATGCCCCGTCTTAAAGCTGTGTCAGCGGGGGGTTCACTCGGAGCACAAAAATGTAGTCAAAGACAAAGGTTGGATTTCTCTATTTCCCTTGAGTGGGGATATCAGAGTAGTTTTATTTCCTTTACAGGCTTATACAACAATCAAGCAAGTGAGCAAGCAGATATATTTATGTACTGTCCCGAAGGTTACGCTATTATGTCATGTTCCGTAGGTTTATGCTATGAGTTCATGTCCCGTCTAATGATTATAATGTTCTATGAGTTCATGTCCCGTCTAATGATTAGAATGTTTAATATTTCAGCTAAGGATTATTATGCTAAATGCTCCATGTCCAGAGTGTATATTTCTCTCTGTGAGGAGCGTAAATCTAAGTGTTGACCTGTATAGGGGTCCCTTGTAAAAGAGAGCCAGCTGAGTTGTCTCTGTGAGACAGCGCCGGCTGTGTGCTAAGTGTTGCTGCTACTGAGCGAAGACTGACTGTTCTCTTCTGAAGAGCGAAAACTGAGTTTTCTCTGAGAAGAGACAAAAAACAAGTTTCCTGCGGGTTGTCTCTGTGAGAGCGCAAACTGAGTGTTAAGTGTCCCTGTTAAAGAGCGGAGAAGAAGCATCAGAGTGAGACCAGAGTCTTCAGTATTTATGGGTTCTATTCTCCCTCCCACATGATATGACAGTTAGGTTGTGACAGTTGTTGGGACGTTCTATTTCTGATTTCAGGAAGAGGCCCTGTGTGTACGTTATGCCCTTCTTAGGTCTTTTTTGTTTATGCTAACGGGAAGCAGCCAGCAGCATACATTTTGTCCTAGTTCAGTCTTTATGTCTCTGATCTGTGTGTGTGCTAAGTATTAATGCATGTATATTTGCAAGCGAGCACAATATGATAATGTGTTTACAATTTGTATACGTTTTTCTCAACAGTACCTCACGGTGTTTAGTGTACCTTACGGTGTTTAGTGTACCTCACGGTGTTTAGCGTACCTCACTGTGTGTAGCGTACCTCACTGCGTGTAGCGTACCTCGCGGTGTTTAGTATTCCTCACGGTGTTTAGTGTACCTCACGGTGTTTAGTGTACCTCACGGTGT